AGGCACTGTTTTGCTCGATGACCAACGCTGCAGTAGTGGCGCATTAATCATAGTCCAGTGTAGTACACTAGTTTTTTTTTTGCAGTTGTGACTTGCCAGTTACTTCTTTGTAGATCGCTTTGTAAAGTCGGAAGTGCAAGGAAAGACGCGCTTGCCAATAGAAAGTGACGGGTGAAGCAAATGTTTTGAATTTTGTTCATTCTTAGAGAAATTAAAAAGGAGGGGTTGGGGGTGAACGGGCCTAACAATATTTGATCTTAATCAGACTGGTTCATGATAAGACAACTCTTATCGATGCAAATGAAAAAGTAACCTGAGGCACGTTACAAAATTGACATCAATAAATCAATAAGTGATAGTCTGAAGAACAAATTTGTAAATTGCCTAGTAAGAAACTTCATACTTACTTTTTGGTAGTTAATTCTGCTGTAAAGAAGGATTTCTCGATCTTTCTAGGAAGCTTTCTGAATGTCGTTAAGATAATTTTATCGTTTGCTTAAAGGATTTTTCTTATCTTCTGTTGAATTTACTGATCCTTACATATTATGTGTCTATCTAAATTTCAGCTTCTCGATTCTGACCGGATTCAATAACCATTATTTATGAGGCCCTTATCTTTAATTTTTTGAATTCTTTTGAGGTGTAAAAAAATTTTTTTTCTAGGCCCCTTGTCATGCTGGGAGCAACGACTCCGAGTTTCAAAAGAAAGCGGCTACAATATGATCCATCTAACACCTGTACATGAGCTTGGAGTATCAGACAGTGCCTATTCTATCAGTAATCATCATGCATTGATCAAAACAATTCATGAGGTAGCCAGTGATAAAATACGCAATATCAAACTAGATTTACGAATTTTTAGCCAGATCGGCAGGTGACGATGAAAGATGTGTCGGATTTCGTAACGAAAGTCGAAAGAGAGTGGGAAATGCTGACTGTACAGGATGTGGTATGGAATCATGCCGCGAAAAATGCACAGTGGTTGCTGGTGAGTTTACAGATACAGAGACAAATACCTCGACTTCAATATAAAGAAAATTCTTGCTAAAATCGTTTTTCTGTAATGGTTTACCTTTTTTATCGTTAACGGGGCTGCGTATTTTTCTTACTGCTTGTAATTGGGCTGATTATGTAAGCTTGTACACTACTGACTTAGATTTGCTAAATTGTTTGCGTCTGCATTATTTACTCAAAATTTATTATTCACTACAAGCTGAGCAGCTTTGTCTCTGTGAATTTCCATAAAACAAGCAGGGGCTATTGAGGAATTCTTACAATCCGTTACAATTGTTGGAATTTCCAATGATTTT